TATGCCAGCAACGACACGACGCTACATGTCTCAAAAGACGCCACGCTGGCCGACGTGACGACGCAGGCCGTCGCGCTGTATGCGTTCGAGATCCCGCAAAACCGCGCCCGGCTTTGGGCCTACGTTGAGCACACAAAGCTGCCGCGTGCGACGTACGACGGCCGCGAACACTGCGCGCTGGCGACGCTGGCGATCTATCACAGGAGCTGGCTGTACCTCGAGGTCCGGCCAACCACAGACCACGCGTGGACGGCATACGACCCGACGGCGCGGATGCTCCTCGTGCGCCGCGCACCTTCGGCTCCGAGCCATCGCGCCAAACATAAGTCGCCTCCTGCACGCGCTCACCGACACCTCCACGCTTGGATGGTCGCTGCGTGAGGACGATGCGCTTGCTGTGCAGATGCTGGAGTCGCCCAAGACGCTCTCATCGATCTACATGTTTGTTTTGATTGTCTTCTTTGACCGCGCGCATCTCACCTTTGGACGCGAGATCGAGCGCGCATTTCGAATGGGAACGCCCGGGACGCACTGGATCGACCTTCTCTTGCTCGAGATTCAAAAGGTCTTGAAAATCCCACCCGACGCCGTGCGTATTCTCAACCTGCGCCAGACGTCAGCCGTGGACGTGACCGAGGTGGCGCGTCTCTCGTGGCTCGACCGCGACCAAGGCCTTCGCTGGGACCATGTCTCGTCGCTGATGTCGTTTGGCGAAAGACTCGTGGTGTCGGATGCCCGCGAGCCAACCAAGGAACTCTCGACAAACGAGCAGCTCGATCTCCAACGACGCATTGACGCAGCGATCAACAGCGAGACGAAGAGCATGGTGGACGTCGCGTGGTCGACCAAATTCGTCGACATCTCCTCAATCGAGCGGCGCATTCCTACGATTGAGACCCCGGCACTCGTCCTTCGTCGCTCGACGTAAATCAAACGAATGCAACAGTATGGGATGATAAGCTATAAGAATCGGTTTTCTGTGTTGGTAGCATGCACACCGTTTAGGCGCTTTGCAGAATACGACCCGCACGGGTGCGTCTCTCACGCCTTCCCCACGCGCCATGACGAAACGAGCTTATCATTTAAGCGCACACTTGAGCTCTGACAATGAGCTCTGACAATGTTGACTCGGTTAAGAATTTTTGATGCACCAAGCTCGATGCCTTTGTCTCACATAGTATTTGAGCCGAATGAGACAGACCGCATGTTTCAAATAGTGTAAGTATCCTGCCACCAACACCATAATCGTTGACACGCAGACGCACCAGTGCCACGTAGAGCGGTATCACCCTCTCCACACACTTCATCGATGATGTGCATGTCGTTTCCGCCGCTGCCCGCGGTGCAATCACGCGAAAATCCACTTTTGATTTTGGAGGCGGCGAGAAAAATGTCCAAATACTCTACGTGATATCGCGGGGTTGGAGAGCTCCAAGGACCCCAATTCTGGCTGCCACAGTTGGAAATGGATCTTGACCTGGTCTGCGACACGTTTGTTGGGCGCCGTCGTTGCTTGGGCGCTCACACCAAACTCGTACTGGCGAGCGTCCGTTTTCACGAAATTCGACATGCAATTTTGGGTGAAAATGCGTTGACATCGCGGAAACCGAGGACGCCATCTCTTTTTATTCGTGCTACAAAGTGTGTTGCATGCGGCCGAGGGAAGCTGAGTGCGCGGTATGTGGCCCTGTTTGCAACCATACAGTATTTCGGTGTTGACGTTAAAACTGTTGCACGTGAGATCGTCCATTGTTCATGCTACAGAGCTCCAACGGCGACGCTACATAGCGATTCATGCTCTCCAAAAAGTCATCTAGTATTGTGGCGAGTATGGGCGATTTCATTTCTAAACGTGGTTTAGTCGATCTCTCGAGGCGGCGACGATCCATCAACCCAAAATGTGGCTTTTTATGCTTTTTATGGCGAACGCCACGAATAACGGTCAAACAGCGTGACGCAAGCTCAAGACGTCTGGAAGACGCTACCCATGCAGTGAATGCATCACTCTGTGCACGACTGACGCTTCTGGGTGGTGATTGATAAGCATGAGCTGAATGCGAAAGTCCAACGCTCCGTGATCGCCTCTCGGCACGAGCATCGAGGACGAGCCCGTGAGTGTTCTGTCGTTATCGCAACAACAGCAACTCATCAGAGCTCGCGCTTGGTTGTCTATCGTGGACACGAGCAGCGACAGCTGACGAATTGCACTTCCAGCATGCGCGCGGTCTTTGTCTGCAGTTTTTCTTGTGTGCCGGTTTCTCCTGGCCAAGTACACCTCAAGTGGTTGCGGCAGGCCGGCGTCGACATTTCAGCCAATCGTAATGCCAGTTGTCAATTCGACCAATCCAAGTCCAGTAAATTCAAACGTTTCAGCCAATCAGAGTGTTTCTGGGGCGGCCATTTTGCAGATTCCCGACACCGCGCAAAGGTCATGGTCGTCGGCAGGCGTGCGGTGCCGAGGCGCCGACATGATGTGCTTGTAG